TGAAACAACTCTTAATCCAAATGCACTGAACATTGTGTACTGTAACATACATGGAATACTTGTTGATTCTAAAGTGTTCTGAGGATAGTGCATGACACACAGAATGACACCTACTCAGTTGGGCGCCTTAGAAAGTGCTAATCTGAATCACTGGAATAAGGTACCCAACTGAGTGTCTTCCTTTCTCACCTGAAGACAGGAACAGATCCAGTTTCGAAAATGTCGTGTCTTCTATTACCTAAAATTCCGGACGGTGGAAAAAGTCCAAAACCCCAGTAAATGTCATCCACAATCATCAGAACCTTTTAGAATCTACACATAATCCACTGTATCACTAGACCGTATTCCAGTGATTGAGATTAGCCCTTTCTAAGGGGCCCAACAAAGTAGGTGTCTTCCTTTCTCACCTGGAGATGGAATAGTAGCTGAATCATGTAAAGGCAAGTTTTATATATATTACCTTTTCCATTTTAACTGAGCATCATGACACTGGTCATACATAATCAAGAACTTCTACAATCAATGTAGAATTTCTACAATCAATGTAACGTAGAATTTCACTGCAAGAATTTAGGTTATGAATTAAAATTCTTTGAAGGAACACAAGAATGTAAGCTTTGAGGATCTCATGTTGGTACTAAGGTTATGGCTTTCTAGGATGTGACAAAGTGCAGATTGGTAAATAGGTAGTAATATGAATAGGATGTTGTTGTCTTCTACTTAGGTTCCTCCATAATTTTGCTACCTGCTTACCATACTCTGTAATGTCACATACAAGCAGACTGTAGCCGTGAACCTCAAGAACCTAGTAAAGCTTTCCTCTTGTAAATGTCTCTTTCTAATTGTAATAAACCACTATACAGCAGGCACGTCCAACTTCAAACAGGTTGTGATCGACTTTTTAGTGTCAAAACTGCCAGTGATCTACCAGCCCCTCCTACCATCGTACCTCACTTCAAGCAAAAATTTTGGTAAAAATAACACATGATGCTTGTTGTGAAAGGAACATACATTGAAAGTAGACTACTTTAATACGTATTTTCCTTTCAAAATGTGAATATAATCATATTATATTACAAGTGAATTTACATGCTTTTCATCTATAATTTCCTTATAGGCCTATGAGATTTACCAAAGATCGTCCCGTGATCGACGCGTTGGACATGCCTGCTATACAGCATACCACAATAGCTACAGGATTTGAACACTGGGATTGTAAATTTGAATTTCGTCAGTGCATGAATGTATGGCTATGTTTCTTCCCCTCTGTAGGTAGTGATGTCCAGCAATGAACTGATCCTCCATTCAAATGCCTATAGATTTTTTTTTTTTTTTTCAGCCATGAAGTCTGAAGTGAAACATGCCAGATGAACTCATCTGTATAGGTTACCTCAGAAATCATTCAGAATAGGACACATATCCATACACTTTTATTTTGCATATGATTACCTCACAGAATCTGCAAGCACTCATAAACGGTCTGAACCGTAATAAGCTAATTCAACCTACTACCCTACCAGTTTGCTTCATGGAAAAACACTGTCTAGCAAACACAATGTAGTATTCTGTGACCCTGAACAAACTTTGTTCAAAATTAATGTTCCCATGTTACATGCACCTGACATGTGAAGTTATTTTGTGTTCCAAAGCAGTCACACAACTTTGGTGTTAGGTTACAGGTTAAAATTTAGAATGAGCCTTGCAATTCAGTAACCATATTGTTTTCTAAATTCAAGAGACCAACAGTAGTAATCCCTACAATGAGAAATATAGACGGAAGCTGGACCAGAAGAGACACAGTAATGGCTTGTGCCTTCACAGATTATGTAGCAAAAGTATTTACTCCACTACCTGTGAATAATATTGATGAGCTAGAAATAATGCCTTCATGGATGTACCATGTCAACTAGATCTTCCGCTAAAATATCTCTCACCAAAATAGGTAAACCAAGAGATAAATAATATAAGCTTCCACAAAGCTCCCGTATATGACCTAATTGTAGGTGAAATCCCAAAACACTTAACTAGGAAGGCCCTGGTCCTACTAAGTCATCTTCAATAGCATACTCAGATTATGCTACTGCCCTATTCAGTGGAAATTTTCACAAATAATTATGATCCTCAAGCTGGGGAAACCAGAAACAGAGACATCATCATACAGACCTATTTGTGTCCTGCCTATATCATCCAAACTGTTTGAGAGACTCCTAACAAAATTAAAGCTTCAGTACCACTGTCAACCATAATTCCTAATCACAAATTCGGACTTCAGGAAGGGCGCGCAACAGTGCAACAATGCCACAGAACAGTGCTATGGAAGCTATGGATGACAGAAAGATTTGTACTGCAGCATTTTTAGATATACAAGCATTCAACAGGGTCTGGCACAAAGGCCTCCTCTACAAAATCAATAAAAGATTACATATTCAAATGTTCTTGCTACTGAAATCATACTTAACGGAAAGACACTTCCAAATTTGAATAAATAATGACATATCAAACGTCCATAACATCAAATCCGGAGCGCTGCAAGGAAGCATCTTTGGCCCGTTCCTCTATTTGCTCTACACCACTGACCTACCAACTACAGATAAGACGGTTTTTGCCACTTTTGCAGATGATATAGCAATACTCTCAGCAAATCAAGATCCTCTGTAGTCTTACACACACACACAATTCTACAGCAGTGGTTCCAAAAAATGGTGCATAAAAATTAATGATGACAAATCAGCACAAATTACTTTCACCACCCAACGAATTAGCTGCCCACAAGTAACAATCAACAATTCTATTATACCAACCAAATCTGAAGTAAAATATCTAGGACTTCACTTAGATCACACACTAACATGACAAACACACATAAAAATGAAACGACAGCAATTAACATTAAAAGCGGGACAGATGAACTGGCTTCTTGGGAAGCATTCACAGCTGTATAAAGCAATTATTAAACCCATCTGGACCTACGGCACTGAGCTGTGGGGATGCACTAAACCATCCAATACCAGAATACTACAAACGTTTCAATCGAAAACCTTGCGCTGTATAACAGGAGCACCATGGTACCTATCAAATAAAACCATTCACAAAGACCTCAACATACCCTTAATAACGAAAGAGATCAAAAAACAAGCTATCAAATACCAAAACCGGATTACAGGCCATGAAAACCGGCTAATTGAACTATCGAACCCCCACGCTAATGCAAGAAGACTGAAGAAACATGGCCATAAGACTTAAATGGATGAGAACTGCCGCTGGGCAGTTACTGCCTCCAAGAGATAAGATATATCACATTTACTTGTTACTTCCTTTATGGATAAGTAGATTGTAAATAGGCAAAAATAAAAAAAAAAAGTTTTGTGATACAATCCAGTTACTCCTAACTGAAGAATGGGAAGTTTTATAACTGTGAACACACCAAGTTGTGTCTACATCCTCACTACCTACACTGGATGAAATTACAGTTAATATTTCCATAGAGAGAGAGAGACCAGATATCACCGTTGTCACCTTCTGGGATGTTGCACGTACGCTATCTCAACTTCATGCGTTCATATTTGCATGAAAAATATAAGACATTTTGCAAGCATGGGGCATGGAATACAAAAACCCACCTGCCAGTACTTTCACATTAACAGGAAAAATGCCTACAAATCACGACTTCAACACAGCTAAATCAAAGGGGGGAAAAGGGATAGACCCAGGTGACAGAAAACTGCTATGCAGTAACCTCATGTTACAATATATGATATAACTCCGTCCTAAGTGCAAACTATATTTATACGTCTTTCGTTTTGTTCTTTATACACTACAAGTTTCGGCCCCAAACGGCCATCATCAGGTGTATGCACTCACATATGTTACACTGCACTTATGAATGTAGAGTACGTAAACCAAATCAGTACTTCAAAAATATAAGGAACATGTTCTTTATTCTCATTCAATAAATAATTGTATGAACAAACAGCAGTTGCGTAGTTCCAACATCTGAGTATTGATAATAATGTGAAAACTGGAATGGACAGAAGAAACCTGTGCTGATCATTCTCTACATTCCAATGTGATCAGCACAGGTTTCTTCTGTTCAATCCAGTTTTCACAGAATTATCAATATTCAGATGTTGGAACTATGTAACTGCTGCTTGATATCTGCTATTAATTTGTTTCCACAGCAAATTTTAGAATGAAAACTGATTTGCTTTTGTAGCAAGCACATGAAACTTGCTAGAGACACAAATTTATTTTTATCAACCTAAAACATGCTGTGGAAAGAAATTTATATGAATTTTTTATCAACCTAAACAATAAATAAAATTATTATAAATTTCGAAAATTTCAATTTCATTTGCCCAACTGACAGAATATTATTCACATGGAAATCTGAAGAAGCCAGCCTTGCTCTTACAGCTTAGCATTCTAATGTTTTTGGATTCAATCATCTTTAATCTACTTCTTCGATAGTTGGTCCTGCTCCAGCTGCTCCTCCAGCCCCTGGCGCAGGCCCCCCTGCACCCGGGAAACCCCCAGGCATCCCTCCTGGCATGCCACCAGTTCCCTGGTACAGTTTCGTCATGATGGGATTGCAAACTGCTTCCAGTTCCTTCTGCTGAGACTCAAACTCTTCTTTCTCGGCAAGTTGATTTGCATCCAGCCAACGGATAACCTCATTGCATTTGTCCATGATGGTGGTTTTGTCGGATTCGGATATCTTGTCCTTCAGCTTCTCATCCTCCACGGCACTCTTCATGTTGAAACAATACGACTCTAGGGCGTTCTTGGCAGAAATGGTCTGCTTCTGCTTCTCGTCCTCAGCTCGGTATTTCTCTGCATCGTTCACCATGCGTTCTATCTCCTCTTTGCTCAGTCTGCCCTTATCATTGGTGATTGTGATCTTGTTTTCTTTCCCTGTTGACTTCTCCACAGCAGTCACGTTCAGAATACCATTGGCATCAATATCAAATGTGACCTCAATCTGTGGAACGCCACGTGGTGCGGGAGGAATACCAGTCAGCTCAAACTTTCCAAGAAGGTTGTTGTCTTTGGTCATCGCTCGTTCACCCTCGTACACCTGAATCAGGACACCTGGTTGGTTGTCCGAGTAGGTAGTAAATGTCTGTGTCTGTTTTGTGGGGATGGTCGTGTTGCGCTTTATGAGCACAGTCATCACCCCTCCAGCTGTCTCAATACCAAGAGAAAGGGGTGTCACATCCAACAGAAGCAGGTCCTGCACCTCCTCAGACTTATCTCCCGCCAGAATTGCTGCCTGTACAGCTGCACCATATGCCACTGCCTCATCAGGGTTGATAGACTTGTTCAATTCCTTCCCATTGAAGAAATCCTGCAAGAGTTTCTGTACCTTTGGAATACGGGTTGATCCACCAACCAGGACAATGTCATGGATCTGTGCTTTGTCCATCTTGGCATCTCGAAGGGACTTTTCAACTGGCTCCATGGTACTGCGGAACAAGTCTGCATTCAGTTCCTCGAACCTGGCTCGGGTAATGGATGTGTAGAAGTCGATACCCTCAAACAGTGAATCAATCTCAATGCTGGCTTGGGTGGAGGAAGAAAGCGTGCGCTTTGCGCGCTCACAGGCAGTGCGCAGTCTTCTAACAGCACGCTTGTTGGAAGTCAGGTCCTTTTTGTATTTGCGCTTGAATTCTTGGACGAAGTGGTTCACCATTCGGTTGTCGAAGTCTTCGCCACCCAGATGAGTATCGCCAGCAGTAGACTTGACTTCGAAGATTCCATCTTCAATCGTAAGGATGGAGACATCAAAGGTACCGCCACCCAAGTCGAAAATAAGGACATTACGTTCCCCATGACCCTGCAAAAATTAAAAAGGATTAGATCCTCACAATATGGAGATATCTACCAAGTGTTCCTAATGTAGCTACTGAACAGGACCACCCTACAAGAACATTTATGAAATCAAAGTGGGTGCGGTCAGGTGATGTTCACCCGTTGCCGAGTTATACCTGTTGACCACCAACAAAACTTACAAGTTCATTAATTTCAGTAAGACTTGCAACTGTGTACTTACCTTCTTGTCAAGACCATAGGCAATGGCTGCAGCAGTGGGTTCGTTGATAATCCTGAGGACATTTAGTCCTGCGATAGCACCCGAATCCTTGGTGGCTTGCCTCTGGGAGTCATTGAAGTAGGCAGGAACTGTGATGACTGCACTAGTTACAGATTTGCCCAAATAGGCCTCTGCAGTTTCTTTCATCTTGGTCAGTACCATGGAGCTCACCTCCTCAGGGAAGAAAGTCTTACTTTCTCCTTTGTACTGCACTTGAATCTTTGGTTTCCCTGTTTCATTTATAACAGTAAATGGCCAATGTTTCATGTCAGCTTGCACTGTTGAGTCCTCAAACCGACGGCCAATAAGACGTTTTGCATCTGGAAAAAGAAATAGAACTGTTCTACTGACAATGTAACACAAAACAGACTCATATTGAACATTCAGCCACTCAATGGAAACTAAATTACAATCCAATCAAAAGGAAATTGTACTTAGAAATTTTCTGTTTATTGAAATGCATACTTAAATTCTAGTTAACAAAGGTAGCATGTTAAAAGAAAGAGTTGGTCAGATTATTAGCGTCTGAACACAGCTCTGGTTCTCTTCTTGAAAACAGAACAGCAGTGGTTAAATCTACTTAACATTAAATACGTACCAAAAATTGTATTGTTGGGGTTCATGGCCACTTGATTCTTTGCTGCATCACCGATCAATCTTTCTGTATCTGTGAAGGCTACATAACTAGGAGTTGTCCTATTGCCCTGGTCATTGGCAATAATTTCCACTTTGCCATGTTGGAACACACCCACACAGGAGTAGGTTGTACCCAAATCAATACCAACTGCTGGTGCTTTTGCCATACCTGGGGCTGAAAATAATATAACACCACCATATTAACCCAGCACAGAAAGGCGGTTATGTTCAGTATTTTGAGCTTCTTAATTCATAACGTAAGAGACAAAACATGTATCTGCTCTGTGGTAAATGAAATGTAAAGTGGAGGGCGAGGGTGGAGGGGGCCACTGTCCCAAGTTAGCTGAAACTGCCCCGCTATTCACATCAGCACTGGCTACATAATGCGTTAATTCGTGCACAACCCTTTACCGACCATACGTAACAAATAAACTCAGGTAATATGTGTCTTTAACGATGCACTTTAAAATGTAATTTGGGCCGCAAGAAATCTTTAACTGTGAAATATTTTCTCTCAATATGGCGTCCAACGTAATTACGTGGTTATATTTTGTACATTACGGAAATCTATTAATACTGACGTTGGCAGAAAGCAATATTAAGTATAATAAAAAAAGGGGGGGGCCACTATACCAATAAAATTACCCAAGCAAAAAAAAAAAGGCTAAAAATTGTCAAAATAGCAAAATACCAAATGGAATTTCAAATTCCAACAAGAAATATTTGTTACATTCTTCATTTAATACAGCTGTAAATACTTTAAATTCAACTTCAAAGCCATACCTTGGTTTTTGCTTTGTAGCTTTTAACACTTGTCACAAACCTGCTACCTTCGCTCTCTCTTCCTTCGTATCGAAATGGCCGAGCGCAGCTCGTTCACCGCACAAGTTAACATGCAGTTAACATGTATCACTGCTTCTAGAAGTTTCAAAGCAGCTGGCCAATGGTGACTGTCAGCGCAGGCGGGAAGTCTTGAATCTAGCAATGCCATTGGTTGAAGAACATAATGGAAGTTTCCAGTCAATATTTACGTTGTTGTGAGTATAAATTTTAACAGGTATACTTAACAAATAACATGATTTAGCATGCCATATTTTTACGGTAAATGTAAATTATAATTAAAAGTATACAAGTGTTCTGTTACGAAGATCAGCAAGCATGACGCATGAAAGTACGGATGACGTCATCAGAGGGTACTGTAATGTTCAAGAACTTCAAGTTCAAGAGTGCCGAACGTTGCGGAACCTAGCTGCAGTTCATTACTGGAACTTTCGACGCTTTCGACCGTAATTATCGACGTATTTATTTCCTATTACCTCTTATTACTGTTAACGTTTTACCATTTTGGTACCGCCATAATAAACCATAAATAATTGCTTATATATATATATAGAGTCGCAGTCATAGGCCGAAGAGGGAGGCAGAATAGTTTATTACAAACGTACGTTTTAGCCACTATTTCATCTGGTCTCCGTAGAGTAATCCGGATATAATTTTTAAAAATAATCTGAAACATTGGCACTGATATTTAATATACTTTTTTTTTCTCTCTCTCTCTCTCTCTCTCAATTTCGATTTTCTTCCAAGAATCCAGAGCGCCGATGTCTGCCCTTCTTTTTCCGGTGCCTATGTCCACCATACTCTCCCACTCAATAAAAGCACATCGTGGATGAATTCTGAGATTTATTTTGGAACACTTCTTTTTTCTGTGGTTAATATTTATTAAGTTCACTTTACAATGCTGCCAGTAGTTCACTGTAGAAACAGATGGTATGAAAGATAAATGATGAATTGGAATGGATTTGGAAGGATGCGATAATGCTAAAGCTAACCCTTAGAGGCCCATAGGGTTGCGAGACCTCGAGGCTCTCACATATTCTAGAAAATCGGCTCACAGATGGCTCTAAGGTTGTCGGCCTTACGCTCCGACAGCCCTGTACCCCTAGGAAGATTCCTGCTACTCATTTCTGTTAGAGGCTGAGTGGACCATAGGGCCAAAGTGCGGCTGGATGGCTTAGGCCAATTGAGAAATCTATCCCGGAGTTTGCTGAGAGGGACTGAAGAAAACAAAATGCCTCACTGAGGATATCCGGTGTCCCAGCTGAGATTTGAACCGAGCACCTCGCGAATACGAGTTAAAAGCGGTTACTATATTCAGAAATGTGACGCTGCGTAGTTTGCTAGACGTCGACGTTTCGGTGAAAACTTGGGCTTACCTGCTCGGTGGTACAACCCCAAATATCATACCTTTCATAGTTAAAAACAGTTGGAGCGCTTTCACACGAGCTCTCGTGAACCGGACATTGTTCTCAATGTCGCTTTTCACACACATCGTCTGGCTCCACAGAGCCGGCACATGTGAGCGGTCGCCTGGCTCTCCTCGCTTGCAGCCAGCTCCAGCTCATGCTGTTCTATTGAGCCTTTCAGACGAGCGCACGTGAACTCGTTGGAGGAAATTATATCAGTGTTCGACGTGGAAAGTTTTATACACGAAAATCAGCATCGGCCAGCAATATGGGACACATCATCTTCCGATTATAGTAATCGGACAAAGAAGACGGCAAACTGGTAGGAAGTGTGTCGAATCAACACTCCGGACTATGATGAGCTCTCTTCAGAAAGAAGGAAGGTTCTGAGTGCCTCAACCGACACATCGAGCATTATGGATCTTGAACTTGGTCACTAATTTGTTTCAGAAAGACATAATGTAAAATGTAAAGAGGCCTATTATGTTTTCAGAAAGGAATAGAAACAGTGATGTAAGAATTTTGTTTCATTATTACATAGTATGAAGGTTTTGGTTCCCCCTACCTTAATGTCACTGCTATTCGGGGATACATCTCCTCGTGTTGGTGTCTCTCTGATGGAATGAAACCCTCAAACTGTTGTGTAATTCATCGAAAGAAGATGTGGACATTCTGAAGTAATTAAATTTTATTCTTTCGTCCTCCTGTAGCTTATGAAGCAGAATATAAAAGCACCCTTGTTCTAATCTCGAGCTAATTATAGGATGAACCCATAATGTTCGAGTACTTTCCCTTTTCTTTTTCTTATTAATTGCTAGGATTAATAAAATTGCAGCTTCTACACTACGCCCTGCACTGAACTGGTGCCATGCTTTCGTTGACTGCAGCGGCTTACATGAGCAACTGTTCGGGATAGGCAGCTCAGCTGAGCGGCTCCCGTGCACCAGTTTACGAGAGCTCGTGTGAAAGCGTTCTTAAGCTGTCCGTGAGCTCAAGCAATTAAGCACTTGCAATGAACACGTATGGGAAGTGGAGGTACAGCTCCAAAATTCTTGACCTGGACACTAGATGTAGGTGAGTGGCCAGCTTCACACCCCGGCCGCTTTACCTCCGGGGAAATCGGAGGGAATCCCCCCGGTACCCATTGCATAGTAGGCTGGGTGGGCCTCAGACCCAGTATCGACTCTAAGGAGAAGAGGAAAATCTTGCCTCTGCTTGGAATCGAACCCCGGCAGTTCAGCACGAAGCTCGTCGCTATGCTGTCCGAGCTATCCCGACAAAGAACCTATTTACAAGACAGACTGACAGTGGAAATTGTTAGAAGTTTGCATTTTGAAAACACGAAACGTTGCTGTCAAAATATATTCCTGAGATGAACTGAAACCATTTTTGGAGGACATGTATTCTAGGCTTGCGACCTCTCATCATCTGAGAACACGTACGCATTAGTTTTCTGAACTGTTATCGAGTTTTGGATTGTAGCATGCGCAGTGAGTGACCTTGTTCGCAGTGACCTACTTGTTCGGGTTGTGCCTTAATGCTGCAGCCACTAGATCGATGGGAGTGCGCAGGCGATATGGGACTGTAACATTTGACGATATTTTTTGTTGATACTGGATGAACACCCACGAACGCGTCGCTTTTCCAGTAAATGTGAACGTTAATCCTGCAGACTCTAGGACCAAACCTTAACCTAAATGTGAGCTTCTTGTCACATAAGTAGGTTCAAAATTGATTTCAATAAAATCCAAGCTCACATTTTATGGTGAGCGCGATGCCGCAGAGCGCCTTGTCCCGTCCTGTAACAGCGGATCAATGTGAGAGGTGATGGTAGAATTTTCACGAAATTTGATATGTGAGGATTTCAGTTTTGTAGGATTTCAGATTCTCACAGCGGTGGTCGTGAAGAGTTCTGTGTTCTGGAATATATCGCCTCATCCGACGTTTCGGGGGAACACGTCGCATTCAACCTCAGGGTCCAAGAATAAGCCGAGCAGGAAACCAGCGTGGAAACAAGTGGGAAGCAGAGCTCTTGTCACGGGCAGCCGACAAAGGGTGATCCTCAAGCTTGGGCGTTTGGCTAACAACTCACGGAGAAAATATTTTTGTTACGCAATGTTATGTAGGGCTTAGGACTTTGATTCTTCGGATGGGGTGACATGGACTGGACTCTTCTGGCTCAGGATACGGACCAGTGAACACGGTAATGAACTTTCCGGTTCCATAAAATGTTGGGAAACACTTTGAGCAGCTGAGGAACTTGCGGCTTCTCAGGAAGGACTCAGCCAGTAGTGGGTATAGCAGAGTTTTTCAGCCTTTTTCATCTCACGTCACACTGAAGAGGACGCTAAAATTTTCAAGGAACACCTTCAGTTTTTAAGGCGATATATTTATCATTAACGGAACAAGTAATACTATTTTGTTTAAAAGTTCAATAGCTAAAATTCTAATCGTGTTACTTTTAAAAATACTCTTGATCATTGATTTAGATTTTTTGTTAATCCCCCTTTTCTCTCTCTCTCTCTCTCTCTCTCCCTTCTTTTCGACATTCCTTCCAAAGTCCCGCGGCACACCTCCGGATCCTTCGCGTCAGACCAAAGTCCCGCGGCACACCTCCGGATCCTTCGCGTCAGACCAAAGTGCCCTGGCACACCAATTGAAATTCGCTGCCCTATATGCTGATGGCTCAACCATACGGTGTATGGAAATTGTGATATGAAATCCAGCTGAAATAGGCTACAATAGAGAGCCTAATGCATCACTGCTGCTGAGTCATTGCTGCTTATTCATTCAGGACACAGCGCTCGCTGACATCTTGCCAACCGAGCACTACACTTTTTATTGCTAGTGGGGTGGGACTAAGTCCCTTGTACTGTGGCCACTTCTGGCCTATTGTACCAGCCCCAGATGTTAGGTGAGGGTGACTGTGGAGCAATTGGTGGAATGAAGATTGGCAGGGGAAACTGAAGTACTCTGAGAAAACCTGCCCCAGCGCCACTTTGTCCACCACAATTCCCACTTGATGCAGTACTGCACGTAAACAGCGGGATCTCGTGTTAAGTTGCAACGTGTCTTCTTACGTAACATGCTTATCGAAATTCACGCATCTTAATTTATTCGTGAAGCACAATTTAATCTTATCTTGGGCTGTCATATACTCGCATGTTTCATATCAGGTTCTTCCATATATCTACAATCACACTATTATTTTGCACTCGAAATATTTAATGTTTATTGAATGCGATGTTGCCATATTGATTACATTGTTGTTACGGAAGTAGTTGGCTATCTTGACTGATGTTTACGGTGTATTCCACCGTCGTTCCAGTCATAAGAGTAAGGGAGGTAGCATCTCCATTATGGTACGAGCGTTTCTTTCCGCGTCGTCACTTATTCGACGCCGTATTGCTTAGATCCTAACAGCGTCGCAAGGCAGCGTCTTACGTTCGAAATGCACGCAACATCCATCTAGGTCTTCATATAAATTGTCCGTCATTGCGTTGTTGTTGTTGTCGTTGTTGTTGTTCGATTTCTAGCTGCAGTTGGAGCATGTCGAGAAGAATTAATAAGACTCCACGGTTTCAGATGTCAAATATCCGTGATATTAGTCCGCAAGCGAACTATACCGACCGAGAGACCGCCGCTTGGC